AAAAGCAAAGTGATATTTTTTCTTTTCATGCAGCGATTGGGAGAGAGAAATGTCAACATCTAAAGAGTGTTCTGCTCTTCAGTATTCATTACACTTGCACATTTACCACAATCCAGGGTTTATTTCTTGATTTTCTACTCCCCCAAAGTTTATGTACCCCTCAGGGTTAGGTTCACATAAACAGGCTCATAAGATTGGCTTATACAAGTAGTTTCATAATATTTTAACTTGTGAGGAGAAACTGTCATCATGGGATTGAAATATTCTTTTGAGACAGAGTCTCACTCTGTCGCCAGGCTGGAGTGCAGTGGTGAGATCTTGGCTCACCGCAATCTCTGCCTCCCGGATTCAAGTGATTCCCCTGCCTCAGCCTCCCAAGTAGCTGGGACTACAGGCATGCCACCATGCCTGGCTAATTTTTTTTTGTATTTTAGTGGAACTGTATGTTGGTGGCAGAACTGGGAAGGTTTGATGAGCAATTCAATGTGGACAGGGTGAGGGACAGGTGGTGACAGGATCACGTCAGGCATCATTCTGGAAATGGCGTGGGGCTGTCAGGAGATTGTGAAGTGGGGCTTACTTGTCCCCTGGTGTGTGGAGCCTCCAGATTTGTTCATTTCGCTTAGTCTTGCTGTAGCTATGGGGGCTCTTTTTTGGTTCCGTATACATTTTGGGATTGACTTTTCTAGTTCTGTGAAGAATGATGGTGGTATTTTGATGGGATTGTGTGAAAAGTTTAGGGAATTTAAATCCTCTGACATCAATCTTCTCTGAGAAATAGGAAGCCAGAAGTTCTGCAGAGAGTAGGATGAGGGTGGGGACTGAGGGGGCAAATAGCATCTGAGGTTGACCAGAATGTATAAAAGGAACAACCAAATTTCCAAACTCAGCTTTCCTGTGGAGCTGTGTGATGTGTTCTAGTGGCTTTTAAAAGCCCAAGAGCAGAAGCAGTTCTATAGATGGCTTTTCTTCTGGCAAACGTGGTGAAAGAAAAAATGAAGAATAATTAGTGTTCTAGAAGAACGGTTGGTTGCTTTGATGTCGTTTGGGTTATAGAGATTACTCAGGAAGACTGCAGATTAACGTTTGTTAGGGGTTGAATTGTAACCCCACAAAAGATGCCGGAGTCCTAACCTTCATCACCTATGAATGCAACCTTAGTTGAAAATAGGGTATTTACATAGATCAAGTTAAGATGAGAGAACGTTAGGGTGGATTCTAATCCAATATGACTATGTCCTCATAAGAAAGCAAAATTGGACACAGATAGGTATATACAGAGGGAAGATGACATGAAGACAGCAGAATACCACCCAGAACCATGGAATGCGGCGGCTGCCAGAAGCCAGGAGACCCTGAGACAGTTCCTTTTCTGACAGCCCTCCGAAGGAGTCAACCCTGCCAACTACGTGATTGCAGACTTCTAGCCTCCAAGCCAGTTAGATAACACGTTTCTGTTGTTGAAGCCATTCAGTTTGTGGTAATTTGTTATGGATGTCCTAGAAAATGAACATTTTTTTTAAAGAAAAAAATTAGATTCTGTTGATGTGATATCACATATATGTGAGGACATGCTCCATGCTCTTACTGAACTTGCAGTCAAGTGGAGGAAGCAAATGTCAAAGAAAAACATAAATGCACAAATATCAAATTCTAATATTCTATATGCTCAGGATAAGAAAGGGTCCTCTGAAAGAGATTTACAAGAGAGAACCTAATTTTTTTTTTTTTTTTTTTGGAGACGGAGTTTTGCTCTTATTGCCAGGCTGGAGTGCAGTGGTGTGATCTTGGCTCACTGCAACCTCCACCTCCTAGTTTCAAGTGATTCTCCTGCTTCAGTCTCCTGGAGTAGCTGGGATTACAGGCATGTGCCATCATGCCTGACTAATCTTGGATTTTTAGTAGAGACAGGGTTTCTCCATGTTGGTTAGGCTGGTCTTGAACTCCCAACCTCAGGTGATACACCTGCCTCAGCCTCTCAAAGTGCTGGGATTACAGGCATGGGCCACCGCGTCTGGCCTGAGAACTAATTTTTATTGGAAAGGCTCAGGAAAATCTGTTCTGTGGAAGAGATGGATACTGTTCCACTAAATGAGACTAAATGTTAGGTGAAGGTGGGAAGGTAAGTGGTACAGATTTCCAGGCTGTGTAAAGAGCACATGTGAAATATTTGAGGTCGGCATATTTCAGAATACTGAAGGCCAGTAGGATGCAATGCAGTGAGAGACAGAACAAATGAGAGGACTTGGGTGGGGAGATAAGCCAGGGGCCAGGCCAGTATCCACACTAAGAAGTTTCCACTTTATCCCAAAAGGAAGCCATCCCGCAGCGGTTTCCACAGGGCAAATGCATTAATCAGTTTCAGTTTTATAAAAGGTCATTTTGGTGTCCAAGCGGAGGATAAACTGCAAATATCTAAAAATGATATGGGAGGCCATTTAAGAGAACATTTACTGAGTTTAGTGACAGAAGGTGATGGCATGGATGCAGTGGCAGCAGTGGAGATAGAAATGGGCAAGTGTGAACTGTATGTTGGAGGCAGAACTGGGAACATTTGATGAGCAGTTCAGTGTGGACAGCGTGAGGGACAGGAGGTGTCAGGATCATGTCAGGTAATGGCATCGTTCTGGAAATGGCATGGGGCTGTAGGAGATTGTGAAGTGTGGCTTACTTGTCCCCTGGGGTGTGGAGCCTGGGTCAGTGAACAGTCTCTAGTCACCAAGGCTGCCAGGAAGCAGTGTACTTAGAGAATCCATAGAGCAGAACCTAGCATTTCGCCAAGGCACTCAGGTGGAAGAGTGTTCTTGGGGGAAGACGTGAGGGAGAAGGTGTGTTTACAGCATAACTGTGGTTCTGGAGGGCACGGTGGGAAGGGTTCAGATGGAGACAGAGGGGGATGGCTGGAGAACAGGAGATCAGGACCACGGGGGCTGGAAGAACGCAAAGCAGGCCGTACCTATTGCTGCAGGTTGGAAAGTGGTTCTCAGGAGAGTCCCTTCGTGCACTTGGGCATGCTTCACCTTTTCTCTGTGCTCTTCAAAACCCAGGTCCTCTAGTCTCTTTGCTGATTTTCTTCTGCTCCGCAGTTCTTTATGAGTCTTTCACAGATGTGTTCTTTTGACCACATCACAAACATCCTGAAGTTGGAAAACAAGAGTCCATTGAAGTGGCATATATTCGATGCATTCTTGTGAATAAAACAAGGACAGAGAGGGAGGCATGTGTTCCTCATCCTGGCTATTTCACTATCTGGCTGGAAGAGCAACATCTCTAGTTTTATTTATTTAAATAGGGAAGGGAGTCTCACTGTCTTGCCAATGCTGATCTTGAACTCCTGGCCTCAAGTGATCTCCTCACCTCGGCCTCCCCAATTGCTGCAATTACAGGCACATGCCACCACACTGACCAATATCTACAGTTTTAAATGTCTCCTTCTGTAACATGGGCCTAACAGTTTCTTAAATGTATGTTCTACAAAGGACTGGCCTCAAAAATTACTTCATTTCTTCATTTGGCCTTACAACAAGCCTTCTTGGTAACTGGGACTGATGGAGTACAACCTCTTTTTTTTTTTTTTTGAGACAGGATCTCACTGTGTCACCCAGGCTGGAGTACAGTGGTGCAATCATGGCTCACTGCAGCTTCGACCTCCTGGGTTCAGGTGATTCTCCCACCTCAGCCTCCTGACCAGCTAGGACCACAGGCACTTACTACCATGTCTGGCCAATTTTTGTATTTTTTGTAGAGACGGGGTTTCACCATGTTGCCCAGGCTGGTCTTGAACTCCTGAGCTCAAGCAATCCACCCACCTTGACCTCTCAAAGCATTAGAATTACGGGCATGAGCCACTGTGCTCGGCCATGTGTGCAAGCTTCTTTACAAGTGAGAAAATTGATGGTCAGAGAGGTGAAGTAAGTGCTTTATTAAAAGCTTATCAAGCTATTGCATACAGAATCCAGACCAGAAAGATTCTGGGTTTTGTGTTCTTTAGACAGTATCAGACAAAGTTGTTGGAAAACTTAAAATACTTTAAAGACAAACACTGTCGACCTTTAGTCCCTCCAAGCAAGAGTTTTGTCATAAATTCTTTGTGTGGCTCCTATTACCTGGCACACAGCATATACTCAATGGGGAGCCATAAGACTCAGTGTTTTTCCCAGGGTCATGTTGCGGGTGTGATGGGGACTTGCTTTTTCCATGTTGCTTCTGAGGAGCTCTTATTTTGCTAAAGAGATTGCAGCGATACCAGAACTGGGCAACGCCATACTTGAGTACTTCTGTATACAGGAGTCAGGGAAGCCTGCTTTTAAGTCGTGTTGCTGCCGTTTAGGATCTACGTGAACTTGGGAAAGTCATTTCTTCCACTTCAGACTCTTTGCTTTTGCTTTTAAAATGGATAGAATCATGCCTACCTGGATTTTGTGTGTTTGGGGAAAAAAAAAACACTTTCTCAACTACACAAGGCAGGCTTATGGTTCTCTGCACACTATGGGCATTTGTTAAGTGGATGTACAACGAAGATACACAGACATCTACACAGTATCCGACCAGGGCCTAGAACAGGGCCGCTTACACAGTGAGCATGCAGCTGCTAGCATGCACGTGGCACCCAGGAATTGTGCTTTAATGAAGAGATGTCATGCCCAGACCTTTTGCTGATTGGACTGCTCAGTGGAGCAGGCAGATGTTCTTGTTCCAAAAGGTTCACTAGCCATGCAGCTCCCCGTCTCGCCAAGGCTGCGTAGAGCGTCACTCTCCCGGGCACCGAAGCTGCTTCTTTGCTGATTGGTATGGTCACAAGGAGCGTCCTCTTGGGCCTCGTGGTCCTTGTCTTGCTCTCCTATGTCCCACCAGGTAAAATGGAGTCCTTCCCTGTAGAATTAGGAACAATAAAGGGAAGAAGGGTGTGAGGTTCTACAAGTGAGAAAAAGGAGGAACTGGACAAAGGAAGCTGGCGCAGAGAACGGGGAAAAGGTGCAAGGACACGGAGCAGGAGGCGGCTCTCTACAGACAGAAACTGGGCATGGGTTTTGGTCTGGGGAGCTGGTGAAGTTTGAGGGGAGGGTTGGACTGCTGGTGTTGGTAGAAGCAGGGCAGAGCAAAAAGATGAGACTTTGAAGAACACGGAGGACTTAGAGGTGAGAGGGCTATTTGAGGACTCTTAGAATTTGCCTTCCACCATCAGCCACACGTTATTTTTCACTCATTTAGAAGCCAAGGCAAATTTTATGCTGAGCAGAATCCATAGACACAGCTGGTTATTAAGATGTATTACATTAACTTACAGCATGACGAGGTCCTATGAAACATCAGTTTGAGGGGTTTACATTCTCTGGACAGAAGCCAGCAACTTGGTGACAATGAGAAAAGTCTACTTCAGTCACTAAAGTGAAGGTTCTCAAAACTGTTGTGCTTGTGGTTTTCTGGGGTCAGCAGAAAGCCCGTACCCTTTGCCTCAAACCCTCATCTATAAAGTGTATCACTCAAGGACCAAGTGTGAAGTGTTTAAAAGACAGATATGAGGCTGGGCACAGTGGCTCATGCCTGTAATCCAAGCACTTTGGGAGGCTGAGGTGAGTGGATTGCCTGAGGTCAGGAGTTCGAGACCAGTCTGGCCATGATGGTGAAACCCTGTCTCTACTAAAAATACAAAATTAGCTGGGCGTGGTAGCGTGTGTCTGTAGTCCCAGCTACTTGTGAAGAAGGAAAGAAGAGAAAGAGAGAAATAGAGGAGAAAGAGAGAAAGAAAGGAAGAAAGGAAGGAAGGAAAGAAGAAAGAAAGAAAGAGAGAGAGAAAGAAAGAAAGAAAGAAAGAAAGAAAGAAAGAAAGAAAGAAAGAAAGAAGGGAAAGAAAGGGACAGATATGAAGGTGGATCATGCTGAGATAGTGGCTGATTTTCTGCATCAGCCACTATTCTCTGGACACTTTGCACTGTGTCTCTACTGGACTCCTTTGTCCCCAGAAAGTTGCCTGAGGTCTAGTGAGCACACAGCGGGCAAGTTTGCCTGCTAATAGCCCTTTACCATACCACATTGATTATTTTCACACCACAAAGGCTCAGTCCACGGACTCATGGGGGCACCTGGGTGGACAGACTGTTAAGACTTAGCATGCAAGAGCAGGTGATTCAGTAGAGGCAATTCAGGGCCACCCTAACCCTCTCAAACTGCCTCTTACCACCCCTCCTCCACCGTTTGGTTTCCAGAGGCTCCCAGTTCTTAAGGTCTAGGAAAATTACTAGCAATAAATTTCCATATTTGTCTCAGGTATTTCAAACCATTTCACACTCATTCTCCCATGGGTTCTCTTAAGTGCTTTGTGATGAAGCACTTGATAAAAAGTCATGCAGAATATTATTGGAGAGTACAGGGGTAGAACTGCAGGCTTCTAAAATTCTAGTTCAGTGATCTTTCTTTCTTCATGCTGACACTTTAATCACAAACTGCCTCAGGCAGCTGTTCCAGACCCTGCACATCTTCTGGTAAGGGGCCTCTGCTGACTCCTGGGATGACTTCGATGTTCTGAGTGTTCTTTCTGTAGCAAATAATCTCAAGCTGAATATGTTGGCCCCTGTTAACTCCATGTAGTTGATTAGTAATTCATGTAATTAATTGTGAAGTCATAGAATGGCTTATAATAGGACCCCCAAACAACAAGGTAAGAGCAGCTGAAAAGGGACACCCAGCTGTAAAACGTCTTGCAACATGACACTGCAGGACACTGTGCATTAACCTTTGCTTCTCTTGGCAGGTAGAAGCGGGCCCAATGCCTACATACGAAGAGCCTTTGCTACATGTTGGCGACTACATGGTATTTGCAAGCAAAAATGTTTAAAACCCGAAGAATATCATATTTTGTGTGATACTACATTTCTGTGCTGTGTAAAACCAAAACAGATGCCTATACTGACTGGGAAATAGTTGTGAGTACCTGGAAGCTGTTGCTGATTTCTTCTAGGAACCCAGATCCCTCTCAGTTGTAACCTTCGACTGAAACAATGGCTTGAGCCTATCAGTGTTCCTGTGTCTGCTGTCTTTCTTTTTATTGATTCTCCTACAGAAATACTCTAACTCCTTGTATTCAGTACTTTTTCTTTTTATTAGTTTATTGCTTCTTAAAAGTCTCTTAAGAACTTTTGAAGCATAACACACAATTAAAAATACACAAATCATAAGTAAGCATTATCCTGATAGTTGCACAAATTTAACACACATGTGTTTCAGCACCCTGCTCCAAAAAAGAACATTATAACATCCCAGGCACTACCAGCCGCTAATCCATACAAAATGATTTCTAGCCTGACTTTTAATAGGAAACTCCTGACATCTACTTTTGAACTTTATATAAATGGTATTGTAGGTATTTCTTTGTGTCTGGCTTCTTCTACTCTACATTACTTTTGTGACGTTTACTAATCTGTTTCATGTAATTGTAGTTTATCCTTCTCAATGGCATATTGTATTACATTGGGAAAGATACTACAATTTATTTGAGTATTCTAGTGAAGATGGTCCTATCTGCGGTTTTCAGTTTTTGCTTTTATAAATACTGCTGTGGTGCCGGCATTTCTGTGGTGGTTATATACCTAGGAGTGAAATTGTTGGGCACTGGCTATGCACACATTCAGTTTTGGTAAATACATAGCATCTGATTGTTTTCCAAATTGGTTGTACCAACATATACCCCTATCCACAATGTCTGAGCATTCTTCTTGCTTTACATTCTCATCCACATCTAGTATTTTCTGCCTTTAAAAAATATTCTAGGGAGTATATAGTGATGACATATAGGGTTTAATTTGTGTTGTAGGGATGACCTAATGAAGCTGAGCACCTTTTCAGATGTTTATTGGCCATTTAGATATCCTTATTTGTAATATGACCCTTAAAGACGTTCGTCCACTTTTCTATTGGATTGTCCAACCTGGGAACCTACTAAAGAACACTCATGGTTTGACAGAACAATAAAAGAAGTCATATTGAAAATAGTTAAGCTGAAATACCGAGTATGTTGTAAGTTTGCAATGCACGAAAACATTGTGTGCTGTTTAGGATGACCAGGCCATAAACATGTTTTTATCTGTGAAAAATTAGGAATGCTTTTCCAAAATGGTGGATTAGAAGAATTACTATCCTCTCTCTACCGTTTGGAAGGATTTCAAAACAGTGTGTACAGATTCACACTGTGAACTATTTTTCAAGAAGCAATGCAATAACCGAAGAGGAAAACCGCAGGAGTCTACTGATACTAAAGGAAGGAGGAGGATACAGCCTACATTGTGAGTCAAGCAAAGGGCGGCGAGTCCCCTGAGTGTGAGAGAGGGGATTTGCCTCTGGGATACGGACACCACTAAGGAGCCTGAAAGTCCAGGACACGAGGTGGGGGTGCTTGGTAGGCGGATGGGGGAGGCCGGGGGGGAGAGGCCGGGGGGGGGAGGCTGGGGGGGGGAGGGAGGGAAAGCCGTAACCGACCTAGCGCAGGAACAGACTTGGCGGGGGGGTTATGGAATATAAAAGTATTGCGTACTTTTAGGGGCAGCCCCTTGCATGCACTTCCAGAGTGCAGCCATGCCTTACTGCTCCTCACAGGAGGGCCTGCGGCCAGCTAAAACGTTCTGGCGCTGGTTGCAGGTTGAAAGAAGCTCTTCACAGGGTTCCTCAATACCACCTCGGATGGGGACGAACTTCCTTGGCCAGGGCCGGGAAGGGGGAGGGTGAAAAGTGGGCTGCAAGTCCAGCAGCCGCAGGTGCAGGAGTCGTGGGTGCAGAAACTGCAAGCGCAGGAGCCAGGGGTGCACCCCAGCTCTGCGGCGGACAGGGAGGGGCGTGGCCTGAACGCCTGGGCTGCAATCTCTGCAGGGAACGCTTTCGGGCCCCGGCAGCCGCGAGTTCACTACAGGCCGAGTGGCAGTGAGCTCACTGCTTCCAGCGAACACTGTAGGAGCGGATCTGCCTTGCCAAGTGGGTACGAACTGCGGAGCTTACCACTGCCCAGTGCACCCCACAGCCTGCACAGGCTCTTCCATGCAGCAGGGGCAGCAACGCTCCCCACTGAAACATCAGCCTGAGACCCGCTCCCCTCCCGCAACACCCGCAGGGGCTGCTGTTTTCTCTGCACGTGGACACCCGTGTGCAAACCCGCCCGTCCCAGCCCCTACCAGACTGCCTCGCCACCCGCGCCGGTAACTTAACGCAAACGACGTAATCTCCTGGAAGCTACGTGGCCCCGCCCCCGTCCGGAGAAACCAGCGTACGCTCCTCTGGGTAACATCAAGCAAGCAAACATCCCACTGCTGCTACCGCGGCTGCTGCTGTTTTGCAAGCGCCACCTCCTGGCCGGAGGCCAACCGACACTGTCCGTGACAATATCGCCCGGCAGATTAATACTGCACCCAGGACAGAGAAAACCGCTGTGGATCTCAGCTGTCACCACCGCCTGCACCACTGTGGCTAACCAGCAGGTCCTGAGTCTGTCCGCAAGACCAGTTTGTTACTACTGTCACCCGCATTCAAGAAAGCCAACACACCTAAGTTATCAATAACCAAGGAATTTCACGGAATCTATGTCACAACCCTGCTACCCCCTGCTGGGAAACTCGAGCACAGGTCACATAACTGTGGATAGCATCCCGCTGTATGAAGGCCTGATAAAGGAGGTGGTTGAGGTGTGGACTCTGAATTGGTTGGTCTGAAGAGCAGACTGTGGGTAAATTGTTTACTTACTGTCTCTAGGAATTGGCTAACTCCGGGAGTGGCCAGCCCTCCAGCTTCAACAAGGCTCCAGAAGTCAAATTATCAGAATACAGAAAATACAAGATGGTCTCTTTGCCTTTCAGAGCTGTTGTAGCAAAATTTCTCAGATGGAGTGGCTTAGAAACTACAGACATTTATTTCACCTTTCTAGAGCTGGGAAGTTGAAGACCAAGGTGCTGGCGGATTTGGTGTCTGGTGAATGCCTCTTGCTGGTTCGTAGATGGTGGCTTCTTGCTGCATCCTTACACGTGGAAGGGATTTGGGATCTCTCTGGGGCCTCTTTTATAATAAGGGCACCAGGCCGGGTGTGGTGGCTCACACCTGTAATCTTAGCACTTTGGGAGGCCGAGGTGGGTGGATTGCTTGAGCTCAGGAGTTTGAGACCAGACTGGCAACGCTGTGAAACCTTGTCTCTATTAAAATACAAAAAATTAGCAAGGCACTGTGGCGTGCACTTGTGGTCTCAGCTACTCGGGAGGCTGAGGCAGGAGAATTGCTTGAACCCGGGAGGCAGAGGTTGCAGTGAGCCGAGATTGTGCCACTGCCCTCTGCTTGAGCAACAGAACAAGACTCTGTCTCCAAAGGAAAAAAAAAAAGAAGGGTTCCATTTATAGAAGCACAGAGTAGAATGGTGGTTGCCAGGGGTTGGATTAAATGGGGTGATATTTGTCAAATAGTACAAACTTTCAGCTGGAAGATGAATATGTTCTGACGATAAAATGCATGGCATGGTGACTATATAATCATACTGTATTGTTTTCTTGAAATTTGTTAAGAAAATAATTTTTAAGAGTCCTCTTCCCTACAAATAGTAACTATGGGTGGTAAGGAATGTGTTAATTAATTTGATTGTGGTAATCATTATACGATGCATATGTATATCCAGCCACGTTTCTGCACCTTGAATATACAATTTTTATTTGTCAATCATACCTCAATAAAACTGGAAAAATGTCAAAAATTAGCTCTAAGTAAAAATGAGTTTCCTTAAAGACAGAGTTTGTTCTTACCCTTTGAAGCTTCTCAGCATCTCTGTTACAAATTCAAGACATCCCAGATGAATTCTAGACGTTGGTCTTAGACAATGCAGTTTCACTACTGAATGAGTGATTTCAGGGAGCGATATTCAGAAAGAATTTTGAAGAGAGTTTGCTCTACATGGTGACAAATTCCTCCCCCATTTTGTTTCCATACAGATAGATTTGGTAAATACTTAAATTATTTTAAAAAAAAGCTTTGGATCTTGGAATTGGGTTTCTTTTGAAAGTGTCAATGTACAGAGACCAAGCAAAATTAGTGAATATCTATCTGTTCAGATTCCTTCAGCAAAGCTGGAGGGTGTGCATGCAACATACACACTTTCTCTCAAAAGAACAAAAAAGTTTGCCGCTACCCCGGTTGTTACAGAGTTCATTTCCTGACAGGGTATATGGCTTGTCAACAGTAAGATGAAGGCAGTGCAGGACTGGCAAATTTCCCTGGGAAGGAGTATTGAGGTGGGATAAGCAGGTTTAATAGTGGCTAGTCCGAATAATTTCAGCAGGATCTGAGGCACAGAGGTTGCCTAGACCTGATGTGATAATCTTGTTTTGATGTCTTGTGGCAGTGGAAAATTCTGTCCATGCAGGACTTAACCAGATTCCAGAGAGAACTTTCTAGCACAGAGAACGCAGACTCTTTCTCTGGCTTTGGGGATCAGCTTTCTAATTAGCTTGTAGAGTATCATGCACCTGATTTTTCAGATTGTCAGCAGGCTGGATTGTTTTCAGGTTTCTCTTTATCTGTATGTGTAGAGAACTTGAACCCAACTAGGAAGAGTGAGATGAAAAGCAAGCCTAAGACTGTCCAGGATGTTATGAGGCCAAAGTTCCAGAAGATTCAGTGCCCTTCAGGTAGGGTCCCCTCTCCCTCCCTCAGGGTCTGACAGTTTCCTTGGCCATGTCTGGATGCATTATTTCCTCTGCACACTTAGTAACCACGGTTATAATTCCAGGCCATCTGTGATCCCATTCAATTTTAACTAACCTTCTCTAAGGTCTACACAGGGAGTCTGGGCCCCTGAGAGGGCACATTCTAATGGATTTTTAGTATCTTCCTCTCCAAAGACATGAATACTGAATTTGCTCAAAGGTTGGACATTTGCTGGGAGCACAGAACTCCTTACAAACCCTCAGGCTTTTTCACCCGCTGCTCTCTTTTCATCCCTTCCCAGCAGCCACGTGTGGCTGGGCAGGCAGTATTGTCGGCTCAGCCCCCAAACTAAGACTCTGTATTCTTATCCCTGTACCACATCAGCAACTGGCTATTTGCAGCAAGAACCCTACACTCTCAGCCCCACATTGCTAGAGAGTCTGAGCCATATCTAGCACTGAAGGCCATGAAAGTTGCCCCACAACCGAAATCTACCCTCCTTTGCCATCCACTCTTTATCCTGAGCAGCAGATACAGAACTCACACATTCGTGCATCCATAAGGGCGAATGTTGTTGAAAAATCAGGCAAGAATTCACCAGCCACGCAGTAGACAGTAGGGCCGGCCGCACCACGACAGAAGTTGCTAAGCTTTCCTGTTACACCTTCATAAAGGTGATTGGTAGAGAAAACCATGTGTTTGAATGGATTTAGACAGTTTATTAGTTACACATACAGCAAAGCAAGATCAGCATGACACCCATCCAGAGGGGTCAGATGATGGGCAGCAGAGGAGGCATCACTCTGCTGCTAAGGAACCAACGCTAAACCACAGGCCAGCAGTCTTGCAGCCTGTAGCTTAACCCTAGGGGCTCAGGTGGGAAATTCCACTGCTCAGCTGAAACTAGGGAGGTGGATGAGAAGTTACCTTGTGCCAGCCCATCACAAGATGTCCTCTCTTCTTCTGTTTCAAAGGAACTTCAGGGCCAGATTCAGTCCAGACTTGGGCCAGCCTGTAGTTAAGACCTACCTCTGTGAATTACATGAGAGATGTACAGGGTTGTCAGGGGCCATGGCAAATCTGCTTCTCTACAGATGGGAGGTTCACAGAAATGGGAAATGGGAAGCTGAAGAGAAGGTAGGACAGGACTTAGGTGTCAAAAGATGTTTCTCTTGAAGCCTCTCTAAATAATAAGAATATCCTCTCTGTGATTCGAGGAAGAAACAGGTGCTGATGAGCACACTGGACATCCCTTTGAAGTGAGAAAATATCTTCTACATTGTTTTTGTGAAAAACCTAGATCTTTTAAAGAAGCCTATAGCTCAGCTCTTTAAATTTAAGACTATAAGAGTCTGCTGGCTTATAAAAATGCTAAAACCCAGTAGTTGTGTACAGAGTCCAGCTTGTCTATAGAGACCCCCACCCAGGTGGTGCTGGGAATTAAGAAGCAGATACCCAGAGAGAACAGCAAAGTGGGTCTATCCGGAGGGTCAACAGCCTACTGAGCTGAGAGCCTCAGGGGCTGACAGCATCCCGGGTTAAGGGCCTCGAGCAGACTCTGACCCACGCATTTATTCTCTTTGAACAGCTGATTATTATCAACAAACAGATGTTTGGTATTTTCTCATAACATAAAAATATACCAGGTAGGCAGCTGGTGCCCACTTACCAGTGATCACAAACTAAAAAGTATTCTCCATGAGGGAGCCACGGGGCAGGGTGGGTCAGATGGCCCGAGATTAAAGCATCGTTTTAACAGGTGAATGATATTTTTCCTTGCCATCGTTCTTCTTAGCAAACAATCTTCTCTATCCTACGCTCAGAATTTCAAAGCAATCATACATTTAGCATTTCTCAACAGTTGTGGACACATCATCGTGTCACAGTTTGATCTACATTCCCTGGTTTTGTGAAAGATGGCAGAACCAAGGGCCTTCAAGATTGTGGCAATTCACTGGTTTCTCATGTCAGGGTGGAGGATTTCCTGTGACACAGCACTCCAGCTGAAACTTACAGTAGGCAACGATCATTTCACTCTGATAGCACTCAAGTCTGCAGATGCCATTCTTATAGCATTTCGTGTGCATTTCTGATGATAGTGGATTTAGACCTGGAAGGAAAATGAATAGAAAGATAACTCACTACAGGCCTTTTTGGACCATAAAATTACTGGTCCCTCAGTTTTTATCCAACTGGGTTCCAAGGAGATTTGGTCATAATAATGGATTCTGTAACTGAAAAAATTAATTAGTGGTATGGCTGAATTGTGTCACCCCAAAATTCATATGCTGAAACCCTAACCCCTGATGTGATTATCTTTGGAGATAGGGCATTCAGAGAGTAATATAAGGTAAATGAGGTCATAATGGTGGAACCCTAATCCGATAAGATTGATAGCTAATCCAATAGGATTTATGGTCTTATTAGTGAAGGTCACAACAGAAAGATGGCCATTCACAAGCTTGGAAGCAAGCTGTTATCAGAAATGGAATCAGCTAGCACCTTGATCATGGATTTCCCATCTTCGAGAACTATGAGAAAATAAATTTTGTCTAAGCCACACAGTCTGTGGAATTTTGT